GGGGGTTCAGCCTCCTCCTGGAGGTTGGTGCAGGTGTTTTAGAGCCCTCCCAAGGTGGGGGTGGGGAGTGGGCTCCAATTCACCCACCCTTCAGCACCAGCTGGGGAGTCCCAAGAAAAGCTCCCTCCACTGTCTTTCCTTCCTCCCATTCTGAAAACAGTAGCACTGGCAGAGAGGAATAGCTGTTGCTATGGGCAGCTGGCTGCAGGCTCCCAGCCAGCAGCTAGATCCCCCTTGCCCCTGTAACCAACAGTGAACTTCTGTTTGGTCTGGGGTACTGTTGTAACTTAGAACACTTTGCAAAAATCATTCTGAGTTGCAGTATGGAGCTGCACTTCTGTCTGCACCAATGGGCGGATGCTCATTTACAGCTGGCTCAGTAGGGGGCAGAGTTTGGTATAACTCCCGAACAAGACCTGTGGCTTTAGTGTCACACTGCTGTGCCCTGATTGGTCAGCCATCACACCCCAAATGGCCAGAGGGTTGCTTGAACTCTAGTTTATAACCTTTCCGCATCCAGCCTGAAATTCCAAGATGAAAGGCCTGATTAACACCTGGCTGAACTCGACCAATATAGATGGAGTTCAACCAGGGATGAAACTGGTCCAGACCCTGGATAGCAACATATGGTTGTTCCACTAGTTCCCACAGTGCCACTTGGGAATATACAACAAGGCTTTCCAAAAAGAAAGAAAATAAGATGGGGGTGGGAGGAATGGACAGATAGTTTTTAGATCACGGCTTGAAGACTCAGCTGAAATCCTGACTCCACTATCTTGGATGCTGTTCAGACATACAGGCAGAGAGGGTCTCTGCCCCTAAAACTCTGTGGTCTGAATTGACAAGGAGGGGAAGCTAAAGAAGCATTGCAGCATAGGAAAACCTACTGTGATAACAAAAAAAAGAGCACAAGGTCACCTTCAGATCTATTTGCTGAGTAGCTAATACATTACCCCCCCCCCCCATTAATTCAAACTTGACTCAAATGTATGGGAGCATTTGTTACCATGCATTCTGCAGTACGTGCACTCTGCAGTTACGGGTATTGGATTAAAAACTGATGTTCAGGAAAATGGACTAGACAATCTCTATTGGTCCTTCCAGTCCTATGCCTTTGATCCAGTCAGTAGTTAGACCATTCTAAGTGAAGTGCTAGAGGAAATCACATATAACAGTACACCAAACAAACTAAACCATTCATCCGCCTTACCTTGGTTGCCACCACAGGCCAATACTGCAGCTGCGATTGCTCCACTTGATATTCCAAAGAATTTGGCTGCCGATCCCAGCATCTCAGGTGCTAATTCTTGCAGGGCCTGAATAACTCCTAGCTCATAACCGAGGATAAATCCACAGCCACAAAAGCTAACAGACTGTGCAGGGGAGCCACCGCTGCCTTGATCTGCCTCATCCATTCCCACTTACAGGAGCTCAACCAGTGCACGGAGCTGATGGCAGAGGCTGGGAGGCTCTGTGCACTGCTACACAGCACACTACTTGCTAGCTGCCTGAGTCTGCTAAGCAATTGTACTGTCTCCAAATCTCTAAGACAATGAATGATAGTTGTGAGCAGAACTGTGACAGAGTTCAAGGCTGGTACTTTTATATGATGCTACTTATTTGAATTACTCTATGCAGTAGTTCCAAAAACACCCAGTAAGTTAGTAAACACCCGGGCTAAAGCTACTTACTCATGAAATGCATCAGTCAGTCCTGTAAGGTATTCTGTGATACCCATCTACTTGGCAAGTAGTATGCTGCCATCTGTGCTTTACTTCAAAATTTACTCTAAGCTGTAATTACTACAGGCAACACACCTTTCTTATTCTTGTTAAGAATTGCATAATCTATGTACTGACAGCATCTTAACAGGCAATCTTTCAGTTGGCAAAAACATACGTCTGCTTCAAGCAAAAAGGCTTGGTAACTTAAAGACTTAAGTTCAGTGAGCGCTCTTTCCAATGAGAGTCTGGAGCCTTTCCCAAATAATTCACTCATCATCTTTTTTCTCTTTTGATGTCGGCTCTGGGATTTTGCTCTTTATTGTTAGGACAGTCTTTGGGCAGTCTCCAAAGCTTTCTGAACTCAGTGGAGAGATTCTTTTCACCATCAGCAATAGTATGAAAATGTTTATAGTGACCAACCTTCATTCATGATTTCTGTATATTTTGATCTCGTGTCCTCATCTCCTGTCTAACCCGAGCCACTCTAATCTTTACAACTGGACTTAATAGAGAAGCCCCTCCAAATCTTGGCTCATTTCTGTCATACTTCTATTTCCCCTCCATCTTCCTGGAAATAGGATGGTGAATATAATACAGATTATTCCAGGTGTAGATGCAGTTTTATAACATACTCAGTACTCACTTTCCCATTCCATTCTTCCCATAGGATAATATTTTGTTTCCTGGTTTAACTACTATTTAGGAGATGTTTTTACTGAGCTGGACAGAATAATGTCTTTGTCTTTTCTCTTAGTGGCTATAGCTAATTTAAAACTCAACAGTTTGTATGAGCAGCTGGAATGATACATTATCAATATACTACCCAGGACACCAGTCAGGTATATTCAGGATGTGTCACCTAGCATTTGTGGAATGAATTCAGCCAACAAAACCATGACAGTTTATCACGGGGCAAGAGATAAAGAATCAAATCTGCTCCAGCTTGGAAGGTTATCCTGGTTAAATCAGGAAATGATTAATTAAATATACCAGGTCAGCTAGTAGTGATTATTTATTTAAATGTGTATTTAAAAGCTACCACCCCTGCATGTTTCATCCAATTCAGACAAAAAACAACAAAGTTATAGATATTTCATTGGTTCCCTATTATACCCTATGGTCGGATCTCCAAAGCAGCTGTGAAGCAGTTCGGAAGCTCTGAACTGCTTCAGAAAGCCTAACAAAGCCAGCGCTTTGATCTGGACATGATAAGCTTCAGACTCTGAAGCTTCTCTGGATCCAAAGCATGGTCCAAAGCCTCGCACAGCCCTATTAGTCCATCACAGAATCATAGACTCTTAGAAAAGTGAGACTGGAAGGGACCTCAGGAGATCACCTTGTCCAACCCCTTGCTCAAGGCAAGAGTGTCCTTCTTCAAACCATCACATGCAAGTGCTTATCTAACCTAGTGCTAACTGTAAAGGAACGCCCCTGACACACTTATATTCTCATTGGCTGATTTTATCCATAGGATTTTGGCATATGAATGCAGGAGCCACAGATAAACTAAACTTTCTACTCTAGGTTTTAAACGTAGTGGCTGATGCAGCATGAATAGAAGTGTTAGTCCTGGTCCCTGCAGGCAGGTTGTAGAACTGTCTGGACAGCTTCTTCCTCAGTAGGAGAGAAATTGAGACAGCAGAACAGGAATCAAGCTTGTAACTGGCTCTTTGAATTCACTCTTTTTCCTAATTGGAGTAGTCATAATGACTGTATTGGTGTGAGGTTCTACTTAAGTTGGCAGTAGTGCTAGAGGTAGCACTGGTTCCATAAAGAAAACCTTTATGGAACCAGTCTAGAGGTGAGAAACCTCTAAACTGGTTCCCCAATTTAGAGGTGAGAAACCTGAAGCCCAGAGAGGAACAGTGACTTTAGCTGTGAGACCTAGGTCATCAGGGGTGTAGCTCACACCAGAATCTGTCTCCTGGTGCCCTGTCTAGCAGGTCACGTTGCCTCAGCTATGAATTGAAACAAGACTGTTTGCACATTGCCAGTAAAGTACAGCAGCAACATTGTGGAATGAAGAACTCCCGGTGTTTTTCTTCCATTCTCATTCTAGTGAGACAATGTTAGGAACTGCATTGTATGCTTTGGTATAAGTATCTGGACAGAATTGGGATTGCCAGGCTGATCTTAACCTTCAAAATATTTGCCTTTAATAATAAATCCTTCTACACCTCTCCCTACAGGCACTGAATTGTAGCTGCTTCCTTCCTATCGATGACACATGCCTCCCTTTTTCTGAGGCATGCCAAGTGCCCTGTGCCTAATACTCCAAGGGAACACTCTTTCTAATCTCACTGCAACAGCCTTGTGGGGCAAACCAACTCCTGCAGTGAGTTTATTGTTTATATTGGTTGTTAAACTGAAAGTCTGCCCATCAGCCCTCTTCGACTATAGCTAAACCTGCACAAATTCTTAACTTCCACAGCTGCATCAGCTACTTCCAAAGCACCTTCCAGCTGTTAGTCAAGACAGTCCCTTGGCTAGATCTCAATTTCCTTTTTGGCCTTTGAAACCAGCTTGTCTGACCTCAAACAGTAGACCATTCTGAACACCATATAATTACAAGATAGTAAACCACAACCATTTAGAAGTCATAAACCAGGTCCCACAACATTGTATTACAAAAAAAAAAAATCAGGTGGAATTCTTTATTAAATTTCAGACGACACTTCATTGCATGGAATTGCAGATGTGCTGAGGATTAAGGATAACCTTGATAAACTGCCCTGAAATTTAATCAAATTAAATTTAATTAAGATCAAGTCTTTGCATTTGTTGTAAGAGGGAACAATTACATGAACAGATGCATATGGGGGAATGACTAAGTAGGCTGCAGTATTGTGAAAAAGATTTAGGCTAAGGACACAAGTTACACATAAACTGGTTTAAATGATAAGAAACTACTTTAAACCTGTAGCAGAAGTTCAGTGCACATAAACCAGGTTTGGCCATTTTGAAAGCAGTTTAAGACAAACCTGGTTGGATGTACTATCAGATTTAACTGATTAACGTTAAACCAGTTTATGAAACTTCTGTCCCAGATGCCCTCCTGACTCAAGTTAACTCTCAGTCCTCCAGCATCCCAGGATTCTGTGCAGCCCTGAGCTGTGCTGTCTGCTCCAGCACAGCAGGGATGGCCCCATCCCAACCTGTCACAGAGCTGAGGCACTAAAGCCACTGCTCCTTGCCTGTGCCTATCAGCCCAGCAGGATGGGGGGCAGAGAAGCAGACACGCAGGCTCCCCTAGCCCTGGTCTGTACAATGCAAGAAGAGGGAAAGCCCTGGCAGCCCTGCCGCCTCCCTAGCCATCTATCCCCAAGAAGCAAGGAGTAGGGGAGAATGCATCCCCTACCCTACCAGGCTGCAGGGAAGCAAAAAAGCCCTGCAGTGGGGGCTCCTCCACCCTCCTTGGGCAGATCTGGCTAGGGGGGACTGGTGCTGGGCTGGGAGGTGGGATGTGTTTCCCACCTGAGGTGGATGGGTGGGGGACAGGGTGGGGCTGAGCCTATGCTAGCCCAGGTCCCTGGACTGTGGGGGTGAAGGGGCAGGAGCAGAAAGTCCCTTCCTCCCAGCCAGGCAATCCCCAGCCAAGGAGAGGGGGACTGGTACCAGGCTGAGGAGACTGTCTGTTGGCTCTCCCCTCCCTGTGGCTAACAGCAGGTGGGGGTGTGCGTTCAGCAGCCATAAGCAGCATGGCCATGAGGGGTGGTGCGTGTCAGTGTCCCCAGGTTCCTGGCCTGGGCCATGGCAGGCTTCTGCCCGTCTTGGCAACCTGAACACTGAATGTATTTTTGTTTTGGTCATGGTCTAGAAAGTTGTGCTGTAGTGTCCCAATTGCAAATCTTACCATCAACTTGTTTAGATGCTAGTGCAGTGCCAATAACGTGCATGACTCCTATCTACCTTCTCATGGCAGTGTAAGCCTCAACCTCTGCTTGAAAACATTTTTGTTGTTGCCTTTGAGTGTCATTTTTACAAAAGAAACTGAATGCAAATCCATCCTGAAGTGTCTGAGACTGCAACCACCATGAAAAATTGCTTTTACAAGATACCCTATTATCTTTAGTATTTAACTGGATAATTCCATGTTAAATATGTCAAGTGAGACTTTCAGAGCTTTTTATTTCTCCTTTTAAACACTCAGCCAATTTGCTTCTCCCAGTCCCCACACCAACTCTGACAATACAGTTATGTTTTCAGTCCATAACCTCACCACACAGAGCAAACTGGAAAACCATGGCAAAAGAAGAATTAAGTTTTTCGCTCAAAAACCTATACCTCCGATGCAGTGCATGGGTGTTACGTGCATCTTTTCATTAAAAAGAGCTGTCCATTTTTACAATGCAAGATAGGAGTATAGCCCAGGAGACCTGGTTTTCAAGCACTAACTCCAAGTACTGATATTTTCAAAGCAACCTGAAGGAGTCCAATAGTCAAGCTTTCAAGCAAATTCAGTGGGAAGTGGGCATCTCCTCCTCCAATTCTTTTTGCAAATCCCAGCCAAGTTGTCTATATTTAACAAGTAAAAATCAATTCAGTAGCTAACGCAGCTCTAGTTTTTACTATTTTTATTGTTTTTTTCCCAGAACAAAGTGATTAATCAAAAAGGCCAAATCCCATGTCCTCATCAGACTCTTCAGATTCTTCCTTCTTCTCTTCCTCTTTCTTCTCCTCTGTAAGTGTTAAAGAAAGTGTACATTTTGATTTTAAATATCAAGCATTTTTATGTCTACTGCCCACAGAGCCAGGGGTAGAAGAATGGGATTTACAACCCTTCCCAGGAATGCACCAAATTATGGCAATCACATTTAAACTTTAAGAAAGGAAACTTTAGGAATAGTTCCTGAATATATGGCGTCTTGCACCATTTGAAAGCGGTTTTCAGAAGTACCCAAGCAACTTAAGATGCATAAAACCCACTTACATTTAATGGTAAAACTAGGCCCAAATTATTTCTGCATGTTATAAACAGTGCAACCCTTAGTTGAAGTGTAATGCTAAAAGTAATACACAAATAAATAAGAATACTGCTGAGATTTTCCCAAACTTAATCTTGATGTGAACATTTAAGTAATCCTGTAGAATATCTGCACCGTGTCAATTTTCTTTATCTTCCACATTTAAAAGAAGAATAGCTCTCGCAGAAATTATGCTTGCTAAGAAAAGTTAGGGGCTCAGGCTTCAGAGATCAGCTGAAAAACAGCAGATGCCAGGAAGATCCTCTACTTTTTAGTCTATTACAGGTATTTTGTTTTTAGATGCAATATACCTAGCATGGCCATGGTCACAGAAATGCAGTCCTCAACATTCATAGTAGGCTCACTGAATTAATGACCACATCCATTCTAGGAGGTGGAAGGTAAACCAATAACTGGTGTTAGCAGCAGCACTAATGAGGTCAATTCCCCAAGAACAATGGGTCACCAAGATATACCTGAATTTGGTTAACATAACATAAGCAATGCCCTTACAGCAATGGCAAAAAGCTAGTGCTAAGTCACTCATAGAAATGGATATCAATTTAGCTACAGGTGTTTTAATGGTGGGAACTGTAATACTGAACTGGTCCATAATGTAGCAAATCAAGAAATCTTCCAGCAACAAACAGCCTCTTTAGGTGGTGTTGGCGGG